AAAAATTTGTGTGAATATAAGAAGATAAATAATTCTTTTATTTGTGTAAGAGGGAACACCCATATATATGATAACTCTGAGTACTAAGGGGTATTACAAGAAATATTACAGTTGGAATATCCAGGTCAAAGAAATAATGTGTATGAATTTAATTATGATTAGTTTGATCTGGTATAGAACAAATGTACAAGAATACACATCCATTTTATGGTATAATAGAAGTAAAGCAAGATAAGATATATGTAAAATTTGACCCATTCATCATTGCTAGTAAAGCATGCCAATTCTATTTTGGTAACTATTTGATTAGATTATGAGGTAAACATGATTGGCTCATGTTTATGAAGATCAAACCAAGAGGAGTAATTGAGAAAATCACTTCAATATCATCAGCACATCAAGAATATTTTATGTCAAACCATAAATAATCTTGCTAACGATGTGGATGATCAAATTATTATTAATGAGACTGAGTTGTAGTTAAAGAAAGTAGATTTAATCATAGATGAAAGTCGTGAGGAATCTGATAGTGATTGAGATGTTTTATCATATGAAAATGAATCAATAAATGAAGAGTAAGAATAAGGTAAATGATTTTTGATAATATGATTTATTTGAACAGCATGTTAATAATTAGTTTTTTCTATTTTATTATTATTTTACTTCATTTATTTAATTATTGTACTATTTTATATTAAGTATTTATTATAATTTATGTTGCTAATATTTCTTAAATTTTTTTTTTGTAAATGGATTTAGATGATGATCATCACAAAGTATTGATAAAAATATTTTTTAGTTGGCACAACAAGAAGATGACTAGTGACCCATCCAGTAGGTTTGTACATACTAACCTCTTGGTAGCCGTGGGACATTTACTTAGGCTTAACAACCTAATTACTAGACTCAACATAGCCCTCCTTTACTTACTCTTGCAGCTAGTAGCCTACAGTTCTACTCACCGGATCCCTACTTTCCTTCGTTGGATGCCACATAGAGTACTTCCTTCTACCCTTACTATCCACCCCAACTTTCTCATAATGACCCTCCTACTTATCCATATCCACCATATGTCCCACCATACTACCCCCCTCTACCTCTTCAACCTGCTATAAGTGGACCTTCTACCCTAGCTGCATTAGAGTAGGAAATAGAGAGATGCATGTTGATTGAACTTGACGGTGACACATAGACGTACTTTTTTATATTGTTAATATGCAAATAAATTTGAATAAATATTTTTCTCATCCAATATATATTTTGTAGGTTTCATCCGTCAAAACAATTGATGCATAAAATAAAGGACATAATACAAAGCATGTATGGTGCTCCTTATATTTCTTAAAATAAAGTTAAAAAAAGAAATGTGAGATATATGGTTTAGAGAGTTTAAGATTAGTTATTATACAAATATATTTTATATTATATCTTTTTTATTTAAACTAACAAAAATATAAATATTATATATTGTATATTTTTAAATGTAGAAAGATTTTTATTGGCTGCTCCATCACAATGATCAAATTAAAAAAAAAATTGAGAAGCATGGTCGACTCACATGTGAGACATGTTTATAGATATTAGAAAGTCAAGCAAACAACCACTCTGGATTGGTGAGAGTGTATGGGCTGAGTTGATAAGTCTTTGGGGTAGCGTATAGTATATCAGGAGGAGGGACTAGAATAGACATAATAGAGCTTCTGATGTTTGGGACATATTTAGTTCCCTTCATACTAAGGGTTTAGTTCCACATACTTAGCAAATGTGACATTTGGTAAAGAGTTTTAAAAGATTTTAAAATTTTACTTAAATATGAATACTAATGTATGTCTATTATAGAAAGAGGTGCTGGGTAGTAGAGCCTTGCATGGGTACCCATACCCACACCCACCCATATACCCACTCATACCCAATGGGTATGGTTGGGTATAGGTGGGTATGGGTATGTCCATAGCCTTATGGGTGGGTATGCGTGGGTACTCCACATAGGGGGATAAGTCAATTTACATTACTAATCATTGTATATCTTATATTATTATAATACTCATTATGTAATCTGCAACACTTAACCACGATGCAACAATGATAAATTCTGATATGTTGCTTGAAAGTTTGCAATCAGAGCAAAGGGCAACAAGCCTCAAGGCCATCAATCCGTGGTAGACTGCGTTCAAAAAACATAAGAAGTGGGTGGGTATAGGTGGGTATAACATCCTGAAAGTCACCATGGGTGGGAAAATCTAGTCCGAGTAAAGCATGGGTACCTAATGGGTACCCAACCAGGATCCCATATAGGGTTTGTTTGGGTAGAGAACTGACCCCTATTGAATTGCATAGTCATACCCACTGGCGGTAGGAGGATCACTAATGGGTTGATGATGGAGCAAGAAAAGCCTACGTAAATATATAAGTTTAATATTTTTTATGTCATGTCTAAATTGTTTAAATTTTTATTTACTTTTATAGGAGGAATATACATAGCTTCGAGAGAACTAGGCTACAATAGGTGAGGGTTCTACTAGCGGATCATTAGAATATACCACATATTCTCACAAGTAGTAGGAGGAATGAAATATTGTAGGGTTAATATTTTAGGCTCGTAAGCTTATTCATACAAGGGGTAAACATCTGGTGGCTTCAGCTTCTCAGCAAAAACCCAGGAGTCCATATATAACCAACAGGTAGTTGCCTTTACATTCGAGATAGACTAGGTTAGAAAATTGCAGCTGACTGACAGATGCAAATGTTGATGCAACAAACTCAATTGTTGGATGAAATATAGAAATGAGGGAGTAGTTCAGTGGAAAGAAGACATCTTCAGTAGAGGAGGAGATTGATTTAGATTAGATATTGTATTGTTTTTTGGACATATGTACTTATTTATTTTTAGACATTTGAGTAGTTTTAAACAAATAAACTTTAAATTTCATTTTAAACAATTTAGTTAATTAATTTAGAATGTATGTTTATGTTTATATGTTTATGTTAAATATTTGGTGATATTTTTTATAAGAGGTTTATGTTTGAATGAATATAGTTTTGAAATTTTTATAGTTAAGTTGTAGTTTCTTAAGAGGGAAGACTGTTTTTTTTTTTTTTTTTTTTTTTTTTTTTTTTTTTTTTAATGTTATAGGTTTCCGATGGATTATTTGCTAGAAATTCGCCGGAAAATAAGAAATGAAGAAATGCATAAAATTTTTTAGCGGATTCATTATGCAAGTATTTTTGGCAGATTATTTGTCGGTTTTATTTGTCGATAATAGTCCACCGAAATAGGGCGACATATTATCCGCTACTAATTCCAGTGCAATAAATAAGTTGAAAATATTGGCGGATATAACACCAGAGTTCGTTAAAAGAAAACTAGTGGTGTCAAATTTGGAATCACGGGTCGGGTTCGGGTCGAACCCAAAATTGCTCCGACACTATTCAGGTCAACCCAAACTCGACCCGTTTTGTAAACCAGTCAATTTTTTAGACCCGAACACGACCCGCTTTGGGTCCGTATCAACCCAACACGATCTAAATGACCCGGGGCAGTGAAAAAAATGATAGTTTTTGGGTAAAAAAATGGGTCAACATATGTTTTTTGGGTCAAAAATGGATATCCGAGTCAAAATCGGGTTTTTGGATAACCAAACCCCACCCATTGGGGTTCGGGTTGACCCTAACCCAAAATTTTTGGGTCAGGTTTGAGTCAGATTTTTGGATTGTGTCAAATATTGACATACCTGAAGAAAATGATGTACTTCCTTCATTGTTTTAGTCGAAAATCCTCGAAAAAACTTTTGGCTGAAATATTTTGCAAGAAAAGTCTTTCTGATGCACAAATTACCATTGTATGAATATCTTCCAGAAATTCGCCGGAACTCAAGATTTTCAGCTGATTTTCCTTATTACCGACGAATTTTGTCCGCTGGTAATAAGTCATTTTCTTATAGTGAATCCTATTAGTCATAGATTTTTATTCAATATTTGAGTGCTTTAATGATGTCATAATCCTATAATCTTGAGCTCATTGGATTCATCTCATTGAGTTGGTCGATTTGATTATAAACATTCAATATTTAGAGAAATTTGGTTTTTTAATTAATATCCTAAAACTTTTAATTAATATCCTAAAACTTATAAGTATATTTTAATTTGCTTGATTTGAGCTTATTTAGAGTCAGATTGGAACACTTATAATGTCAACGGGTTTGTCTCATCCATACTTTCATTTTGACTATAATTTATTGGAATCGGAGTTTAAGTGATCCTAAATTTAATTATAGAAGATTTCAACTTAAATATTGTCTCTATATTCGAGCTAGTAATGTGAATTTTCTTGATATATTCGATCTATTTTGAGATGAGCACCTTATAAAATTTAGATCTATTTAATATTTTCTATTTTATTTTATTTTAAATATGTTTGATTTAGGCTTTTGATAGTTTTTATTTTTCATTTTTGAAAATAAATAAAATTATTTTAAAAACAGCTTAAAATGACTTTTATGAATACCTTAAAATTTTTATTTATTTTTAAATGAAAATTAACTAGCCACTAGTCACCATAAATGGTCTCCATCACCATCACCACCACCACCACCACCATCAAGAATTGCCTCTCTTCATAACTGCTTTATGTAATATTCAATAAAAATAAAAATAATACTTATTTAAGAAAACAAATATTTTTCTATTTCACATAAAAATATAAATAAAATAAAAAAATAAAAAATGATCCCAAACAATCTCTTAGTTAAGATATTAGACATCACATTCTTGTAGAAGTTTGACTTCAGATGTATTTTTTCCTCTTCACTAGAAATATGAATTGCTTTTCCATCAACTAAAAAACAGAAATTTAAAAAAAATTAGGAAATTACTTCTCAACAAAATAATTAGGCTTGGATAACTTTTATTTCAATTTCATCACCATTTCCTCTCTTTAAACTACTTGAAACCAAAGAGAGCTCTAAATTGATTACCATGTAAATCAAATATACAAACGACCATGAATAAAGAAAAGGAAATCTACATTAAATTTGGAAATCTTATTCTTTACAATACCACAGTAAGGAGAAATTTAAACACACATTTTAGAGATGAAAATAAGGGTCATTACATAATTCAAATACACACAAAGACAAAATATATAAATTATAGCCACAAATAATATAATTAATATAATAGTTGAAGATGTAGGGGTTGAGGAAGCACTAAGCAATGGTCTAAGCCTCCCAAGTCTCAAAACTACCATTGACAAAGTCATAGTAACCTCCAAATAAAGAGAGAGTGTTCTTCTCCAAGCCTTCTTTAACAAAAGGATAAGTCTTCAAGTTCTCAAGATATACTTTCACTGCCTCCTGCATTTATTTATGGGGAAATTGTAAAAATGGAAGAAAAATAATTTGTAAAATAATTGACAAGTTTATTTTATTAAAAAAAAGTTGCGGCTCGGGTGCGTCAATTTTTTTTTATTTTTTTTTCTTCTTCACTATTTTGTGGTGCAACCTTACATTATTAAAAAAAGATTGTTTTGTTTTTTTCTAACTCTCACTATTAATAAGTCTGGCTTTCACAGCATTTTGTTTGGCCTATTGCAATGGTTAAAACACCCGCTAAATTTATCCGTTAGATTCTCAAGTGCTGCAAATGACTTTTTGAGCGCTCTCTGAACCACAGTATTATGCCCGTTTTTTGGCAGCAGTAGCTTTAGCAGCAGTTTTAACTGCCGTAATTCTGTAGGAAAATATTACACTCAAATACTATGTTTGATATATGGTACCTTCTCGCATTTAGAACATTGATCTTCAAAGGAGAGATGAGAGTGAGCTTCCTTTATTACTTCTTTTGCTGGATTTGCTGTTTTCACCCAGTCCTCTATGAATTCACTTCAGAAGATGATCAATAAATATCAGTAAAAGATGAGCAATACTGAAAAGCAGAACTTGTAAAAGTATAAAAAAAATACTACTATTTGTTTTAAGGAGCTCCTTTTTCTTCTATAAAAAATAATAACCAATTCGCATATAATTATATCTAATTCCCTAAATTTTAGAATTGTAACAATTACAGAAGCTATTTTTCCTATTGTTATATTATAAAACTTTCTGGGGATTGGGCTTTTGCAGTTTTGCTCCCAGGGTTACTGGAAGAGAGCAGCGCTTTGATAATATTTGGAGTTCAAAGCCTTAATTGAATAAGGTGATTGCTACTGCAGGCAATTATTTTTTTCGTTGTAATCACAAACATGTTAATTATTAAAGCAATTCTTAATATATTAAACAATATATGATGATGCTATGAGTGATCATAATCAAACCACACATCGTAAACGTATAATAAAGCCTCAAAATATATTAACTTGGATTTTAATGATGAAGCTATGGATATATAAAAAAGTTATATTTATTTATAATTAAATAATAATAAAAATAACAGAACTCTTACGTGCTAAGGGTGCCATCATCTTGGGCAGAGAGCAACGCTTTGATACCTCCACAGCGACTGTGGCCGATAACAATAATATTCTCCACCTATCATAAACTTTTATCTTTAGAATTAAATATTTGCAGATAGAAAATTGAAGGTGTCAAGCAAATAGGTTTTACCTTTTGTTTTATTATTAATATTTATTTATTTATTTTTTTAAACTAACTCATCTTCCTTAAGACAACATTGGTACCTACCAGTACAGAAGCATGCACGTGTCTGCTAGTTCTTCATAGAATTCATTTTAAATTAAAAAAACAGAAAAGAAATCACAACTTGAAATAAAAAAGTTTATGTGATGGATTATTATGGAAAGGTAATGTTAAAAAGGATTGTTATGCAGCTCATCTTAATTTATTTTTTGAAAATTTTGACTATCAATTAAGAAGTTTTAAGTTTGAGTATTGCATATGTGATGTGTTTATAAATTTGTTTTAATTAATGTAAATGATAAAAAAAATTGTTAAATAACATATAATTTATTATCCTAATTGATACCATGCCTATCACAATGACAAATGGCACTTTGCTATTGATTGGAATGTCTACTATTCATTATTCCGTATGGCCAAATAAAAAATAATACCTTGAGAAAGACGACAGGGTATTCAATGGCAGCTCCAGTGCCCGAGTATCTTGTCTGAAGGAAAGATTAACAAGATCAAATCCTATATGTGTCATCATATAATAGTAGAATTATCAAAAGGACGGTCGATGATCTAATTATGGCTTGAACTCAGTAATTAATTAAGTATATATACCTTGTCATATGGAGGTATTATATTGGCAATGCTACGAATGATGAAGGCTTCTCCTGGCAGAAAGTTGAACAATACTGACGGGCACACACGCGAGTCCGCGCACGCAAAGATCAAAAACTGTAGCGATTAAACAATGTGCATTAATTTTTTTTTTGCATAATTGAGTCCTGAAAATTTTGATTTAATTCTAAAGTTTTTCCCTTTAAATGCAACTCTTTCTTTTATTAGATTCCTAGCTTTCTTCAGCAATAGGCCTTTTTGTTGTTATAGCTTCAATCTTATCCACATGTCAAGATTTAATTAGAGTCAAATTATTTATTTTTTGTTAATGAAATTGGGCCTGGTTCTATAGTTTTTCCAAAAACAAATAAAGTTTTGAACGATCGCGTCATGAATTGGGATCTGAGTAATGAGGTAAGAGTATTTTGCACGGATGTTGGCTTTTCAAAAAGGATATTCTTTGAATAAAAAAATAAAACTTGAAAATTACAGCAATCCTCACCTTTGGACTCTGGCTTTCAGATAATTGGCGGAATTTCTCGGGATTCTTCCTGCCAAGATTTTTTTAAGTTGGGAATGTTGAAAAGCAAATCTCAATGGTATTAAAATATTCAAAGTTGACCAATACATACAAATAATATCCACTACTCATGCAAAAACTAACCAAGCAAAATTTCTTCAGTCAACAAAATCAAAGACCCTAACCGGCAAAGAGGAAACCAAAGGCCGAGAAAACAAGGCTCGACAGTTGAACGGATCACCGATTACAGTTGGATTGAACAAAATTCATTAATGCTCATCAAAGCCCGCCGAACCCGCACGAATTAAAAAACAATTTGAAATAAAGCCTTTACAGTCCAGAGAGATGCAGTTCGAATCTCGAATAAAGTAGTAGAAACCAGCAAAGTAGAAACCAGCAACAGGGGAGACTCAAACTGACAAGTTAGAGCAGAAAACTGCGAAGAACCGAGAGGGTAAGAGATATAGCTGCCTGCTTATAACAGGGAGAAAAATCCTGTTAACGATCCAGACCTCTGTAATTTTTTTTAAAAATCAAGCATCTCAATGATCCTGAGAGCCAAAGCGCAAATATTATTATACATTTTAAATTTTTCTTATTACCAAGATAAGCCAATCGTATAGCTCGCTTGTTTAAGCTTTCAATCAAGGTAGATTTAGCCATGTAAAACCTTTCTACAGTATTCCCAAACATTAAAAACGGAGCAAGGAAATTAAAATCAATGAAATACATGAAACACGTTGGAAGAAGAAGACGGAATAAGAAGAAGCTTCGTCGTTATTTCGCGCAATTAAATAAAAAATATTGGCGAAATATAGATCATGTCCGATTTCTTTTAAAATTTTCCTGAATTTCCGTTACAGTTAGTGAGATTGGGAAAGTACGTATTACTCACTCGTAGATTTCTTTCTTGAAGTGCTCAAACCCTGATTTCAATCGCTGAATCGGCTCGGCCATTTCCTGCAATTCGTCCAAGAAATCAGATCAATTCCAATTTAACATAAACTTCAAACAAGCTAAACCGCACAATATAGATGATGGAACCAATCCTCAACAATGAACAGATCAGAAATCTGAGAAAACTTCTGTGAAATGAACAGAATAAAATAAGAAAAATTTCTGAAAAATTTAGCAGACAGTGAGCTCGGAAATTACTCCTATCTCAGCGATTTCGATTGAAGATTTCGTTTCTAAAATGCTGCAGAGATTGAAAAGGGGCGAGTTGGAGATGGCAATGAGAAAGGGGCCATTAGTTTTTTGTGGATTATATTGCTTGCAGTAAGAGGACTGGAGAGAGATAGAGAAGCTGAATCGGAGGCGGCGACAACGGTAGATGGGGCCCACAAGCCTGGGATTTGATCCGCGTACGGTGTACATCTAAATAGTCGGCACCGATCGGGCCAACAAGTCGTTTCCGTCAGTTGGGAACCGGCTGCCGTCGTTACTGTTCCATAGTTTATATTTATTTTTTTAAATTAACTACAATTATAATTATTCTATAATTAATCAAAAAATATTTTTTATTTAAAATAAAAATATAGGGAATTTACATAATCAACTCTAAAAATTTACCTATTTACTAAGGCTCCATTTACGATAAATTTCGATCACTATTTTTTTATTTCTTTTCAAAAAATAATACTAAAAAATTGTTGTAAGAAATAATAAAAATTTTCTTCCAAACGAAACGAAGCATAAAAAGAAAAATTATATATTTTTTAATGATTTGAATTAATGTATTTTTGCGTGTATAATCAAATTATTATTCATGTTATAATTATTCAACTTATTTCTCGCAGACCGTTAACAACTTAATGCGGGCCTTAACTTTTGGCATCAAGCTGACAACGACAGTTATAGAGTTGTTGAAGTCTTCTTTCATTTCATTTGAAATATATTTGATTAAAATAAATTTTATATTCTTTAATTTAAATTAAATTATTTTTTGACTCTTATATAAATTTTAAGATAGAGTTGATACAACTCGCTCTCAATATCTATTTGTTGGTAATTATACCTTAGCAAAAATGCCAATTTAACCTTTGTGCTATTATTGCTCATACTCATTCATATGGCATGATGTGTAATTATTATTTATGATAATCTACTTGACGGTTCGGCTATGGTTGGCATATTTAATATAGAGATGTTAAAGCGTGCTGCTGCTTTATAAGGAGAAAATGGTCTTTTGAGAGATTGCAACTCATTGATCTTTCTACTTTTGGGTTAAACGTTCAATGGTCAGCCATTTCCCCGAATAGAGGCTTACTATTTTATTAGGATTGATAAATTTAGAATTAAAATATTTTGATCATTTTCTTAAAGTAATATATTTGTTTAGATATGTATAATATATGTAATTTCCCAAAAAAAAAATTATAATATATGTTATAAACTAATTAGTATATTTTTAATATTTATCTTAAATAATTTAGCTAATTTTAAAATTTATTTGGGCTAAAAAATTAATTTGAATATTTTGAATTAATTTTTTGACACGACATGAAAATTTGACTCGAGAATTTCGATCCGAAAACTCTTCGATTAGATCTTCCCGGATTTTGAAATGGGTCAGGTCTCGGGTTATCCATATTCAATCTTTTGGAAAACCTGGATCAAATAGTGGACATGGAAAGTAATGGAGCCGATGAAGTCAAGCGGACCCGGATCTGGGTCCAACTTCAGGTTGAGTTTGGATTTTCGGAGTCACACCGACCTGTCCGTTGAAAAATCAGGTCAGGTTCTAATCAACTCGTGAATGAATCGGGTAAGGTTTTCGGATTCGACCAACCAGCGATTTTGACACCCCTATACATATAAATCATTTCAAATAAGCACAAGAAACATTTCTCATTTTCTATAATTAATATTGCCCGTTTTTCGACAAAGCATTAGCTTTCAAAGTTATTAGAAAAATGGGAAGTGTTCTTCTGCTTATTTTGAAACGGTTTATATATATATAATATATATATTATGCATTTATAAAATTATAATTTTCATATTAATTTGATTTGTTAAAATTTATAAAACTTTAAACATCAAATATGAAAATTCAGAAAAAATAATTAAAATTATAAATTCATTAGATATTGAAATAATTAAAAATTAGAAAATAGAAAATAATTTATTAAAATAATAAATTAGATGACAGAGAAATGATTTCCTACTCTTGAATATAAGAAATGATTTTCCGATATTCTTAACACAAAAAATAGAATTTCTTGTTTTTTAATGCAAAAAATAATTTTTCATATTTTCTCCATTTTGTAATTTCTTTTTATGTAAGCTCCTTTTTCCTTAATTACTCATTATTGAAGTTCCGTGTAAAAATGTTCCCATTATTAATTTGGAAGTTGATGGAAGCCTTTACATTAAAGTAATGAGTGAGTTTGAACTTCACAAATAGATCTGTTAATAAAAAAGGTTTTTTAATATACAAATTTTAAGCATCTAACAAATAAAATAGAGGATGAAAGGGTATTAAAGATATAAAAAAAAAAGGTTTTTTTTTTAAAAAAATCTTTTTTACTTGCTCACCGTTTTGCTTTTTAAAAGAGAAGCATAATACTAGTTAAGTGTGCAAAGATGAGGATGCTCAGGTGGATGAGTGGCTTTACCCTTTGAGATAGGATACGAATGAGATATACGTGAAAAGGTTGGAGTAGCTCCAGTAAAAGATAAGATTAGAGAAAGTCGCCTTCAGATGGTTTGGTCAAATAAAACGGCGGCCTTGCGATGACCCGGTTAGGAGAGTAGAGGTATTAGATTTGACTTATGTTAAGAAAGGTAGGGGTTAGACCTAAAAGACTTGGTTAGAAATATTAGGAATGACTTTCTTTATTAGATTTAAACGAGAATTTGACTTTTAATATGAGGAGACACAATGGAGAAAAGGATTCATGTAGCCGACCCCACGTAGTTGGGATAAGGCTTGATGTTGTTGTTGTTGTTGTTTGTTGTAACTGTTTTTCGGCTTAAAAAAGGGGTTTTAAGAAAGAAAATGGAAATAGTAATTAAAATAGAATTTAATTAAAATTAATTTTCACCCTTATTTGCTTGATGAGAAATTAAGGAAAAAACAACATTTCTTTTTTTTATTTGTCTGATAAAAATCTATGTTTTTATTTTTTCTGAGTATCATAAATATATATAAAATAAAAAAATAAAAAAACTTACACAACACACTCTAGCTGCAAATCTGAACAAATAAAATAAAATTAAAAAGCAGATATATATTGTTAGATGAATTCAAATATTTGTAAATATTTCCTTAAATGCCAGAAAAAAAAATTAATTTCCTTAAATGCCAAATTTATTTAACAACATTTTCAGCCAATTTATCTCATTCTTATTTTTCAGAGAGAAGAGCATTTATTTATGTCATAAATGATCCAACCAAAAGGATTAAATAATTTGGTTGAGTAAATATAATATTTTTTATTAATAATTTTTGTTTGAGTAAAACATATGTCAAGAATCATTACATTGCATTCAATCATTATATTATAAGTTATAAAAGATTTTTATTTTATTATATAAGTTTACTAATCTCAAAACAAATGTATTAATTAGAACAAAATTATATAAAAATAACATAAAAATTTTAAATTTGTACTTAAAATAATGTAATTCATGATATAAAACACATTAGAACATTCATATGTGAAATAAGCCTTATCCAATTATAAATATCTTCAAACGCTTGAAGTTAATAATATATATGCACTTTTAATATTTTATTCAGCTAACGTATTCTGTACGACATTTATCAGAAGAACAATAAGCTTTATCATATTTTAAATAATAAGCAAATAATATAAAGAAATATAATATTAAAATTATATTAATATTTCAATCCTATTGCATGTCAAGAGTATTTTTCTTCATGATTAATTTATCAGTGTGTGTGTGTGAGAGAGAGAGAGAGAGAGAGAGAGAGAGAGAGAGAGAGAGAGCGTACCACTGCTCTTGTGGGGGCGAAAGTGAAGAGGGTGGCGAGGATGGTGTAGTTACGAATCAGGCGATGCGTTGAAGAGGACTGACGAGATAAGAAACTGAAAGAAGAGAACGCAAGAGGAGTGAACAAATGAAGCTTGGAACGAGCAACAATGGCGGAGAGGTGGCAACAACCGAGGGCGGTCGTCCACATGAACTATGAGAAGAAAGAACACCCTTTCCCCTCTCTTATATAGTTGTGATTTGAGAAAGGTCTTACTCACCATTACTCTGTTAGAGGTAGAGACACTTATCTTTCGCTTCTATCCGGTGGTATCTCCATTCTGTGGCTACAGGGAAAAGTAGGGATGATGATTGGATGGAAAGGGGCCCACCGCCACATTGGTCCATGGATAAGGAGGATCGTCGTTTCCATCAAGCCATTCAAAATCCAATTTGCGCGAATGTAAACAAAATTAGAGTTCTGCAAACTCGCCAAGACACAGGATTATGACGCTAATTATATGATAGTTTAGCACGTCTTATAAGTTTATCTTGGTAACAGAATTGCTACCAAATAAATATTCATTAAGAATGAGCTTTAACAAAAACTATTATAAATTAAAAGTCATTGAAAAATTATTAGATACGATTAATATATCTATATATTAAATTCAAATTTGTCTGTAAGCGATATGTTAATCCTCCTGAGGAGTCTAGTTAGGAATACATGTCAAGGAAAAAGATGAACGAGTGTACGAATAAGGATAAGATCTATGTCACCTCACCTAAGGAGATGTTGGATCCAAATTTATCTATGGCCGGATGGCACATTGACCCTATCGACAAGTCTAATTAAGTAGAAAAAGGCAAAATTAGATGTGAATGAGCAAGTGAGCAAGGGGAAGATCCACACTTACCATATATAAAAGAATGATTTCATCCAAATTTATTTGTTGGTGATACATTGACCTTATAGGTAAGTCTAACAAGGTAAAAAGGGGAAGAGGAAGTGAGAATGAGTGAGTACTCACTCAAAAAAAATTCTAGATTCACTATTTTATAAGAATAGTGAAAATATCTTAATCTTCATAATAATAATCTTAATATCCAAGAGATACTTTTTAACTACACATGTTTTTAGGAATGGGAAAGCTACAATAGATATTACATCTAGAAAAAAAAATAAATAATAGATGTTTGATTGGTTACAACCAATTATAGGCACTTGAATTAGTCCATGACATGTACATGTGGACACCAATATCTAATCTTGCTTTACATGTCTTCATCTTATGATGAGTTCCCTTAACAAATGTCTATTAGACGAATGCCTCAGGCTATTGCCCTGAGCGAGTCCTCTCTAGTGAATGTCATGGGTGAGTGAACTAAGAGAGTCCTCTGGGGCAAGTTTATTTAGCCAGCTCATTCGGGAGAATACCTTATGTCATGGTGCC